GCAAATTGTTTTTCCTTTGATCTAAACCCGCTCTTTTTTTTCGAAGCGGTTTCAAACGTTGCGGAACACTAGGTTTGTATCACTTCGAAGCATATGTTGGCAGAGGAGCAGCAAGTGTGATGTGCCACGAACAAAGCGTGCTGGTCGCCTTCTCTCGGACCCATGCAAAAAGAGCAACAATCACGCGCAATCAGAGGAGTTTCGACCGCCGTGGCTCCCTCCGGTTCCATTGGCGAACGAACAAAGTGTGGACAGATTCGGGAGTGGTCTTGGAAGAGAAAAATGAGAAACGAAAAGTAGGAAGTGCGAGTAAAGAAGTGAGGAAAAGGACATCAATGATTGAAAGTAAATATGAAAAGAGGATCAAATCTTCTTTGCAAATCAGAAGTCTTTCAAAGTCGAAATTTATGACATCTCAAAGAGAATACGAATTTTCATAAACACGAAGCTATTAGGAAGAAACTGCAAATCCAAAAAAAATATTTTCGAAAAATTCCGAAAATCCAAAAGGGAGGAACAGTCATCGTGCACTTCAGCATACATTACGAAACATTGCAATAGAAACATGAACATCAAGGAAGTGTTGTGGATGTGATTGGTCACACTCACCTGCACAAAAAGGGCAAGAAAGAGCTCGCATTACCTAGCGCAGGATCTTGGTATTTGTCTATTTCTCTCAATTCAGTATATGCTTCTCACTGCTCCATTTCTTTCCTTTCTTACTTCTATTCAGCATGTGTTACACGCTTTTGTTTTACGCGCCGAAAGTGCAAGTAATACAGTAATCTTGGGGCGAGCAGGGCACCTAGCGCCAGATGTTTTCTCGAATAAGCAAGAAGAAAAAGGCGCCAGATGTTGTGTTGTTTTTCTTTGGTGTATTGTCTATTCAATAAAACGTGGTTTTATTGAATAGACAATAGTGAAAAGAAAAAAAAAGACACAAAAGGGCGGAAAGTGACACGAAAGGGCGCGCGTTTTTAATGGAGAAGGCGAAGACGTCCGAATCGAAATGGAAGAGGAATGTCGCTTCTGTGAGAAGGCAGGAGTAGGGTCACAAAAAATCGACGGACGACATGGAAGCCATGCTAATTTCCGCTGTTTGCTACTAACCATTGTCATAAATATAAGAGTAAGTGGTCATTTTACGAGGAAGAAGAAGAAGCAGTCGAAGAAAAAAGATGCAAAAATGGATGAACAGATGAACTGAGAGAAAAAAATGAACAGAAAATGCAAATAGGGCATGGTGAGGGGTTGTTGAAGGATATGTTTTTTGAACATGGGTTGTATCGAGCATGAATCTATCAGGGAGGACGAAGAGCATTGTATTGGAACCGGACGAAGAAGAAGAAGTCCAGCGACGCCAACGCATCAAACTATTTACATGTGGATTAGAGAAGAGCAATAGTGGACAAAAAAGGAAAAAGAAGCAAAAGCAGAAGAAAAAAGGAGACGTCGAAATGGAATCCGTCACGAGAAGAGCATAGCAGGGAGGCCGAAGGAGAGCCGATTGGGGCGGAAGGACAGAAGTAAAGAAAAAATAGTGGAAAAAATGATGCTCTGCTCTTTGATAGTTTGCCAGAAGAAGAAGGAAAAGAGAATGAAGGAACAAACAAACGAAGTAAAAGTGAAACCGATGATCCGCGAAAAAGTTCATCGGATTCAAAGCACAGCCCCCATCATTCGGAAAGTGTTTAACAACAAACTTGAACAGAAACAAGAGAAATTAGTTATCAGAAAAGGCAAAAATTGTTGAAAAGATGGATTTCGCATATTGGTTCGTATAAAAATCGAAACGATGGCAAAATTTTCGAGAACAAAATGGAATAGATAACGACCATGATGTGATTTTTGGGAATGTTCAGAGTATTTTGAGACATTTTAAGGAATATCGAAACTTAGTTGTTTTTTTTTAATAATTCAGGTCACACAATAATATTTTTAGAGTAAAACTAGACCGGGAAACACAATGAAATCCAAACATAAACTGAAAATGGTTCCTGAAGGAATTATAACAATCGCTCAAATTTGGAAAAAAAAACTCCGCGAAAACACCTCTAGTGCACCCCTATTGAATGTTCTACAAGTGCAAATCAGTCCAGCCTTGCCTTTTCATATTCAAAACATTTTGAGTTTCTCATCGATTAGAGTTACAGTCACTCAATTAGTTTTCAAGAATCGATGTACATCCACTTGTTTGTTTTCAAATAGATTTTTGTTGGATGCCCACCATGACGTATTTCTATCTTCGAAGACATCACTCCCACGATGTGC